ACCAAATGCTCCATTCTCTGATATTCCCCTTTACAGCATCGTGGAGCAATGTCACGAGGCGCCGGTAATACATGAGCGTTTGAAGATCAGATCTTGGCTCGGATCTTGCTTCGATCAACCATCTTGAGTTTCTTTTGGAATCAATCAGATAAAAGCCAGATGTGTCCGGTAGGACATTAAACGCAGTAACTGATTCTAGGCTAGTTGGATGGATAAAACTCCCATTTCGAAATCCGCTACGAGGCGATGCTTGGTGAAAACGAGTGTGCGGCTGCATTCAGAGGAATACTAATGTCAAGCAGTGCCCCTATTTTACATACTGTTTTGATACTAGACAATTCCTAGTAACTTCGCTTTTCCTTGATGGGAAAAATAATTTCTTTTGTGTTTTACCATAAGTTCAAAGCTTGGAATCAGTATTTTGCAGCATTAGAGCATGACGGAAACTCTCCGCACCGAGAAGTTGTCATGGGAGGCCGGACAGTCAGATGTTGAGGTCCCGTGAACGTGTAACACTGTAATACCATAGGGTCCACCACCCAACCGTGGCCTCCCAAACTTTCTTGATGTGCCGTATATGTGAAGGGTTTTAGGAGATGCATGAGTGTGTTTTCGGTTTACTGTGTAACACATTCACGGGAATTTGGAATCTGTCTTGTAAAGAGCCTGTACTCGGGTTTTGCTAGTACAACAGGCATGCACATTATCGCTTATCCAAGTCTATCGCCGCCACTAATAAAACATCAACATCGATCCGCGCAAGAGGCGTGGCGAGCAGCCAGCGGACGCCGGACGTCGGCAGTGAGCCAACGCAGAGTCTGAACGGAACAATCTTCTAGCCGCGTAAGGATGCAGCATAGAGGTGAACAATATTCGGCCTAAGGATAAGCGGAGTCAGATCTAAAATTCGATATCAAGACTACACCAGCAGGAGTAGCCTCCACCCCTTAAGACATTTAATTGAAGCGGGATCATATTCCCAAGAAGTTCCATTTTGTTTCATAGCTGGACTGCAAAACTGGAAACTTGGTTAAGGAGCAGAGCAAAATATGGGGCATACACGAAGAAGTTTTGCTTCCAAACGGACTTCGAGCGAAAAATTCGCTGATCAAAGCAAAAAACTAAGTTGTGAAAAAGAAACTTCGAAATCACAGGTATGTGTAGAGTCGACTTACAATCACAATGACGTCTGCTCCGGCATCAACAAGTAAATCCAAAGCTTGTTTAGATGTTTCGCGAGTGTTCACAGCTGCTCCACAGAGTAACTGACCTTTCGAGTCGTACGATGCCATCGGATAGTCCCTAGCCTGGGAAATATTTTGTTAATATAATTATTTCATCCGATTTTTTGCTTTTTCAAAGCTGCTCAAACTATGAAACGCTCTACAAACATATCCTGAGAAAAGGTGTTTGCTTTGAATGAAAAACCCCACAGTATTTTAGGTGGAGGAGCTAAGACGATTAACAAAAATCTGTTTACTCTCTCAAATAATTTAAATGACGTCAATTCCGGGTAATCAACCGATTTGCGAGAAACGCTACCTTTCCACCTTCAGCTCAAGTATTTTGTGCTCAATATTTTTAGAATTTTTAAACATCTGGGGAAGTTTCTAGAAATTCGAACCCAGTAGAAAGAGTAATCGAAAATCTATGCATGTAATGGCCGCCGTCTCAGATATTATGAATTTTAAATTCCCGAAAGAGCAGACACATTTGACCCAAAGAAATGATGGGGCCCACTGGGAAAATCTGCTAAGAACAAAATACATGAAAGTTCTCCCCTGCTGTGATGTGTAGAAGACCTACAGCATACGATACATTAATTTGAATTCTCTTCGAAGGAGTAACCAAATATGCAAACTCACTTTTAAAAGATCAGATCGACACAGTAAGGCAATCAGTTCGCCTTTTTTGTTGACAATAGGGAGCTTGCCTAAAATACAAAAAAGGCAGGGTTATGAAAATGATGTTTGATGAATTTTGGACGTAAACCAGATTCTTTCAGTATAACAAAATAAGGAAAATTTTGTCAACATACCTAGCCTATGATCCTTGAGCATTTTTTGAGCTTTGTCCATTGTCAACGATTCATCACCGAGTACAAGTTTACTGACGTCTACCATAATCTTAATCACCAGTTATTTCTCAAGTAATTAAATTGTCAATAATCTATTAATAGCTACACGTACATCAGTAATTGGTGTCCGTTTTTGAACTTCAACATCTACATCGATGAAATCAAAGTCGCGTGAAGTGATCATCCCTGAAAAGGAACAATTCAATGGTTGAACTGCTCAGTGGATGATCTGCTTTTGTTTGTCATATGTTTGACCCTCACTAAGGAATGAAAGCAAATTTGCGAACATTTTCAGCAAAGCACCTTCAACATGGCGTGAGTGTAGTCCCAGAGGACTCCCAGGAAAGGAAAAGGGTGATCCCCAAAAGAGGTTCCGGTCTTCTGTCACAGTTTCCAAGAAGGGCACCGTTTCTTGATTCTGCTCAGAGTTATTTGAAGGCAATTTCGTACTTCTTGAAGGTATCCCCACTTAATTAGTATTATTCTACTATTGTTCGGTCAGGTTGGGCCTAAAAAAGCGACTGAATTCAGGTTGGTGCGAAAGTCGCACTAGCCGACGTCGGACTCCAATTCTAATCGAGCCCTGTCTTTGAGAAAATTTTCAGACAGACGGGTACTCCTTGCCTGATGTAAGCCACCCATGGAGTGGTTTGATTCGAGAAAAGGCTATCGACAGAGCCGCTATGACCTACCTATCAGTCTCGATCCGACTTTGCCTGTTTCAGTAACTGGAGCACCCGTATAGCCATAGTGCTTTTTGATTTGTAACATATCCCAGAGACTCGCATCAGGTTTCAAACAATGTGGTTGCATAACGAAGCCTTGTTTGAAACGCTGAAAATGCCACGTTAAGCAATTTGACCTTACGGGAGCATGCATGTTGGATGATCAATCAATTTATCAATTACCTTCACTTTTAGAACTTCGGCAGCTTGATCTTCTGGTTTTGGGAAGTTCCCATGGATGATACCCATACCTCCATAGAGCTGGAACAGCAAGATCATCCAGATGGCAGGGGAGGATAGTTTCTTTTCCAATTACTTCCATCAATTCTGATGACTCATAGGCAAAAATCAGTCACGCGTTATTTGTGCTCACATTCTGTTAATAAATAAGATAAACTGGAAAAATCCATTTATCATATAGGAAGCAGGGGAGTAAAGTTTTTTTTTCTAATTATTCCATTCAATTCTGATGATTGATTAGCGGAAATCAATCACACGTTATCTTTGTTTACATTCAGTTAGTAAAAGCGATAACTTCGAAGGAAATCCGTTCACACTCACGGCCATGACAATTGCCATTCCACTCTCCGTTACGGTATCCATAGGAGAGGACACCAGGGGAGCTTTAATTCGTATATTCCGTGTAATTCGTGTATCCAACTTCACATCATGAACGGAAAAGTCGATCATACCCGGCAGAATGTTAAAATCACTGAAAATCCGGCTTTTTAGAATATTGACCGTTGCAGTAAACACAAAACACGTAAATACATAAGCAAGTAGATATCTTGGATCGATGTTACGTTTTCCAGAAGTAACGCCCATCCTGATAAGGTCCTCATATAGAGGGTGTATGCAGAAGTTATTCTAGCGGCTTTATCTCAGAGATTAACTTGAACCAGTCCTTCGAACAAAAGGATAGCCCTCGGGGCAAGCACAGTTCACTGAGCTTTTCGAACAAATAAACAAAAGGATTAAAAAGTGCCACTGATTTCTGCCCTTGTCATAGGTGACTAGCATACGGCTAACAGCTGATACACGCTGTTGTTCTTACAGGCTGAAAATTGCAGCAATGCAACTGGACTCTGCTTCCCATATGATCCTATCTGAGCCCATTTTTCGATGAAATTCGTTACCCATCCGCTTTGACTTATTTACCCTTCGATTCGATTAATTCAACAATGTACAATAACAAAAAATGACTATGTAGTGTGTCTTTAGGTCTAAAAATGATGTGATCACATTTTTCTGATCACTATAACCTTTCCTGTTCTTCTTGAAACATGGAGAAGTAGATTTTTTTTTCTAGTTCTCCACTTTCCAAACGAATTTATTTTTCAGTTTCATACTATCCTCTGAACTATGACTGTAGAAATCCATACTGATACCTTCGATAAGGCAGTAGATTTGATGTGGAATTCCACCAATCCCACATAAAACCTATAACCTAAGGACCATTTATTTTAGCCTTTCTGAAAAGCACGACAGGTTTCTTCGAATTCAAGGTTTTCAAATAGTTATCTATTGAAAATCTCATTAATCAACTTCTTCGTTGTTCAGACTTAAGCCAATTTATCCTGAATTTGCTCGGCATTGGCTCTCGGGACAAGCATAAATCATAAGGACCTCATAAGGAAATCAAGTAAAGTTGGTTATGCACGCAAACCGGTGGCATGGCAACGATATCGAGAATTTTGTGGTTTTCATCATGTAATAAAAAAAGATAGTACGGTAATTAGGTGATAAAATGAAGATGATACGACACATCAAAGGACAGTTTTCGGAATGCGCCCCGCATTCGACTTCCATTTAGAATCGTTATGGCCCTTCGACTCAATGACTTGCAGTTGCCAGCCGATAACAAATCGAGTGCTTAAACCGACCATGCCTTCCGTATCTCCTAGGCCGGATAAATGGTAGCGAACGAGCCCTGCCTAGGAGATATGAAAGGCTGGTACATATCATGAAAGTACGGTATAAGACCTCATGGCTATAAAGAGGTCTATTGAAGTCAAGGGTCGTGTACCGTAAACTCAATCACGTCAGGGCAACCGTAGGACTCATGGCTGTAACAAAAATATTAGGAAGATCTTGAATATCTTTGTAGCTCCAAATAGTTCCGTTTTACATCTACCTTGACCTTCCTATCATTGTAAATAATGAAAAATAAGATCTAAAAATGGGCATGGTCGTACTCCTTTGCGACAAGGCGTTTCTCTCCTACTTGTTGCACAGCCATCAAAGTGAACTGTTGCTTTTGAACCGGTCCCTCCAAACACACATTTCAAACGGCTTTACTGTCCTTCTCTTGGAGGCCCCACTAAATCATCAGCAGGGAATGTCATGAAGATCATCCATCAAAACTATGCCACATTAAGGACAGTTGAGGGCCACGATCCTGGGGTAGAGAGAAGAGCAAGAAAGACGGGAAGACAAAGACAGACAAGACGAGACGAACAAGCACAACAAGGCCTTTCTCAACGGCAGACAGGCACTTCAGAGCCTAATCTACTGTTGAAGGCCCCAGATTGATGGCTGTAAACGCCGAATCACCTCCATGATCAAAATAAAACAGGCCAGCTCAAGTTAATCACAGTTTTGTTCTGGAAGTGAACATACGATCTAAACACGCAATTGAACGCCTCTACATTTCCAAAACGATCGAGAGTTCACGGCGCACCTCTAAGGACTGTTGCAGATATACGGTAATCAATGTTGTTTACCTCTTTTTTGTTTTCACCACCAGTGCTTGTTTTCTCGTTTTCCCTTCGGGCCAAAATGTATCAGAGAGAAACTCCATCAGCAGCAGATGAATGGCTTACAACTCCCATTCCTTTTACGCCCATAAGTTCATACATCTGATTTGCTTATGAAGCAGATTACTTAGATGATCGCCCTACCATTTCCGCCAGAGTTGGAGTTCCATCAAAACATACCATTAATAGGAAGATGCATTAGATCTAAGCAAACATAGAACAGAGAACCCAGTAAATGAAGCATAGTGGTGAAACCAGTTGGCTTAGGTGGGCGACAGCTTTCGTACTGGAGATCAGAACCGAATTTCATCTACTTCCTCCACCCTTGAATAGTACCGATTTGTGGAATGGAAATGAGACGACGGTACCGTGCAAGTTGTTATTTGGGTGGTGCCCGAGTAAGCAAGACCTCAGTCATATGACAGCTTTTTTCCCCCAGTTTACAAAGAACATTCCTGTGACCGCCTAATTCGCCTTTGGTATTGCTGCAGTAAGTCGTAAATAAGTTGCTGATTGAAGCTCTATGATTTGTTAAGCTCCCATAGGAAGGTAGCTTTGAAGGAACTACTGGATTACTCTGATGTATCCAGTAGTTTCACTCACGACTATGAGTAAGTCTCTGGCCAGAAGAGGGACTAAAACTGAAAACAAAACCACTCAAGCATTCATTGTTCATCAGTCGCATGATGCTCGGAAATCAGAAATATTCAGTAGAAGAGACCAGTATTTTGAAAGGAAACCTAATTCGACCATCACTGACATGAAGAATCGCTTGCGTCGTAAAAATTCAGTTTTTTCATCTAATAAAGTAAAAACAAAACCACTGCAGACATGCTTGTCAGTCACTCGAAAGCCGAAAATCGGAAATCGTAACGCGAATGTCAAATGACACAGAAAGAGATCTAGGGATGAACAAATAAACGACAAAGCGGTACAAACAACGACAGTTTAAAGTTCAAGTTTTGGCAGATAAAATATAACTTGGAATAAAAAAAAATCGAATTTTGATCCGTCCAATCAAAAGTGGATTAGGGCCTGGACTGGAGATCCATCAGTGTCCAAATAGGAAAAAGTTGGAGTATGACAAAATAAGGCCTTCAAAAACATCAATTTCGGAGGGTTCAGGAAAAGATCGAGGAGTTCTGAATCCCATATTAGAGTTAGGATGACTTTTTCGTTTAATTCATAATATTTCGGTCCCTGACTACACCCGTTTTCGAGCAGTTTTCGCCCCGGACAACCGGAAACGGCGTTTTCCTCGTCAGATGTGCAAATTTTATATTTCCCCTCTAAATCAATATTGAATACAGGTGTTGAAATTGTTAAAAAAAAAACTCAAAAATCTAACTTACTTGTAAGTGAGCCCCTGATTATGGGACATAAGCTCATGCACGGATTCGCCATCGACCAGTTCCGTATCATCCATGATGAGTTTTTAGACCCAAAAACAAATAAATAAAGAAAAATTTCAAACTGAAATGACGTCAACACACGGAGAACAGCTATTTGCAGGGACATACAATTGGGCTATTTATAATGACGAAGAGAGCAATCAATAGAAGCCACGGCCCAAAGAGTGCACATGTATGTATGCCAGTGGAATTGATTTAGCAAAACCAAAGTTCAAGAATTCTGCAAGAGAGGAAATGGGAAAATTGGTAGAATTATGAGAGCCAGAGCATTTGTATAGCATCAAATGAGAGAAAGAGGCCTTACAAGAAGCCCCTTAGATCGAAAAAGGGCTTCCAGGATGCTGATGACTAATGGGAAGAGACTGAGGAATAAGAAGCAGCTGGCAGTTACAATCAGTAAAATGCAATGTTCGTAGAGAACGGCTAAAATCGAAAAATGCGGGTCTGTGTAAGCAAAAATCTTAAAAAACAACGATTTTCAGTGGGAAAACTGAAATTTCGTCATGACGTCAACGGAAAAAGAGATCATCGGATCGGAATCTGAGGGGTCATTGATAAGGGAGAATCGATATCATTAGCGCTCTGAAAACGGTGTCGGTGGTATGTGGTGGTGGTGGTCAGCCAACAGTCAACAACACTGAGCTGACGAGTTGCTGTTTTCGTGGCGTAGAAGTCGACGGACGAAGCAGACGGACGGACGAGTGTGACAGGGCGGGGCGAGCACGAGCTGCTGCAATCGAATGTCTCCTACATCGGTGCTGCGTACTTTGAATATGACGACTCGACACTGAGGGAATCACATTCGCCACATCGCCGTCCGTTGGACGAATGCTGGTCGACAAGTTTTTGCCATCAATCGGGTGCCTACGACGCCCCCAACTCTGTGCACGAAAAGATCGAAAGGCGTGTAGACGTTTGCAAGAAAGTACAGAGAACGAGCAACGCCTACATCGCATAACTATCGAATTACCATGCAGTATCCAGTAGACTAAAGAAAAAATTTACTGGCGTATAGGGTACGAAAGCCCTTGGACAGAATAATAGTCCTCTCTCTGCCACTGTTTATTTTTGCTCTACCTAAGAAAACAAAGCAATAAATCCACAATGGACAGTTATAGGCAATCGATTGTGAGCGCACGAGCTACCAGGGAAAATTAGAACCAGCGAGAAAGCTGATTATCAAAATTCCCATTAGCGAAATGCATATAATCATCTTAAAAAGATGGACTTAGCGTGGATTCATGGCTTATCATGTCGTCGGTGCCACATCAAGCCATCACACCCAGGATCGAGTAGAGGGCAGACTGATCCAACAATCTTGACCATATAACATTGGAGTATGCCTTATAATGAAAATAGATGGCACAGATCTGGAGCATCACAAGGCCGTCCAGAATGTGGCTATCCAACTCAGTTCCTACCCATTTTTTGGATTAATTTTTCATTCTTTGCGCTAGAGACTTATAGATACACAGAGTCCCATGATTAAAAAGGGGAAATCAAAAATAGGAAGGTGAAATCAGCTGTGAATAGAGGGGAGGTCTAGATTGGAACAGGCATAAGACAATGTGAAAGGTCACTTGATGGCACTGCTATTTGCCTATCAAAGTACTACCAAAGTTCCGTCCGAGTGACCAACCACCTAGTTGTCACGTTCGGTTCGGAAGTAGCCGAACCCGCACCTTTCCCTGCTGGGCACCGAGTTAATCCCTTCCGCCATTGCAAGCCTAAATAGGCTTGATGACCTGTCGTTGCTAATGTTTACCATAGAATCAATTAATTAATCAGGATAATGGTCCTTAAGGGGGAGAAATGAAGAGCTATTGATTCGGGAAATTCTTTGAGAAGCCCGAACAAAGAGGAAGTAAACGGAACGGCAGAAGAAAAACAAAGTGTCTAGGACTATCTGTTGTTTTGTGCAGGTATGTTTGATGGCTCCAAAATGTCTGGGTAGAAGTGGGTAATGGGGAAATGATAAAATCTTCGGAGCGGCGACAAGCAAAGAAGCATAGCAACGATGAAAGGGCAGCGCAATGCAGGTGAGCACAGGTGGCATGTGAGAAAGCCGCCACCGTCCTCGTCGTCGTCGCCGCCGTCGTCATCTGATGTGGTTGCTGTGGGAGCGCATACCATCGGCAAAGGAGATAAGCGATTATCTTGAATAATTTACACGAAAGCCGATGTTATATGTGACTGCGTGCTATGAGAAAGAAACGCCCCTGATTTTATCAGCTTCCCCACAGGAAAGTTCATTCTTAGTTTTCTTGCACTATGAAGTATACGGTAGCAAATTCAATGCCATTCTTTCAAAACAGATAAAACGTAAAGGACAAAACGTTCTGTGCTGATCAATGCCATTGAAATGAGCCATGCTTATGACCTTTTGTAAAATTCCTGAAACGCTTGAATGAATTCTGCTCACCGTCCCCATATCTTCTAACATTAAGGGGGAACTTCTGCTCTACTGGAAACGGCTTCTCTGAAAAATGTTTCCATCGGAAAAGTTAGCTAAGATGTGTGAGCTTAATGGACTTTCCAGAGTGAGTTGGCACCTCATCAAAGGTTTTTCCGATGAGATGGCATGCTGCACGTCATAGTGGGAGGCTTATAAACATTTTCCGTTTTTTTTCGATTTTCTTCTTAAGAGTTCCTACCTAAATGTCAATAACAGGGGTATTCTGGCTTTTTTCTTCATGACAGTAATCCAAAGGTAATGAAAGTAACGAGTATTGTGTCACACAGCTTGGAATGCGAACGCAAGTTGAAAAAAATTTATTTCCTGGAAACCAGTAGTCCAACGCCTTTACATTGGGAACACTTTCCCACTCACACTGTTGCACTTTGCCGTCCAACTGTAAAAATTAGATCCTTGGACCTATACAGTGGTCTCTCATAATCAGAGGATTTAGGAGAATGCAAGCAGGTGAAGTTGACCCTGCAAATTCAAAGTTTCTGAAGTT